ATATAGGGATGATTGACCACGTTGATATGTCTGTTGCTATTTGAGGCTTGGGATTCATCAAGCCCAGAAGGGAAGTTGTTAATGACATAACGGGGATTTTTGTGGTTGTAACTCTAGTAACCTACTATTCTGAAAAGCAGACTAGGGACTATGTTTTTATGTTGTAGGGCAGGGCTAATGGTCTCTTTGCGATGATTCTGATTTGTAACTCCATTCATGAAAGTCACAGATAAAAATCTGCGCAATTTTTGAATCATTGTTATGAATATATTCTCAATTTTCCTAAAATAAAAAATAAAGACAGAAAAAGAAAATAATGATTGCGTGTTGCATCATCTTTCACACAATCATATGGCATTTGACATGTAGTTTTTTAATGGAATGGTGATGGAATCAATTCACTTTTTGTCAATTACTAGTAGTAACGATGGATTCAAGATTTTATATAAAAGGTGATTAAACAGTAATTATATGAGATTATAAATTATATTATATGAGTATTTTTTTCATTCATATGTATGAATATATGTATATACAAACATTAAGAGACAAATGACATTGAACCCCAAAAGGATCCGACTCCTTTTCATAATTAATAATTTGAGTCCATATTAAAAAGTAATGAAAAAAAAAAAACAACACAGGGGATTTGACTTCAAAAAAAAAAAGTGAATTTTGTGGGATATTTAAAGTAGTAGGAGGGATTTAAACATTAAAGCTTTATCTCGATGCTTTAGAAGGACAAATGATAACCACAATCTTTAAAATACATACATATATATATGTACGTATATACGTATAAATTCAATTTCTTTGACACAAGGGAGAAAAGTAGGAGGAAGTAAAATGGAAACAAGACTAGATGAAGCAAATAATTAAAAGATGGAGGAAAAGTAATCGTCACGGTTCATGGACCACGAGTCCGACCAAATAGTGCGGTACTAGGCTTTTATATTTTCAGAACATTTCAAATTAAATTTAAGTTGGAACATGAGATACTTTAATTTTAATTTACATACAAGCAAGTATGAAATTGTAGCAGAGATTTAAATCTTAAACCTTAGTGAAAAAAAATAATTATAATTTGTTCTTCTTTAATTAAAAAAATTAAAGCATCAAATAATAATTTATAAAAAAAGACTGGATGAATTATTGTTTTGGAAAATGCAGCAAGTCAAATGTAAAATTCCCAATCATTTCTCCCACCGCGTTACAAGTTCCTTTCTCCACATTTTTGTCCTTTCCTTCTTTATTTCCTTCCTTTTGCATGCGAATTTCCTTTTAGGTACTGAGAAGAAGTTGGCATGCATTATCACTGCTATAAATAGTAGTATGTACCAATCAATAATTACAACAGGCAAGCGAAGGAAGGCTTTGCATTGAAAATGAGCTAAGAAGATGAAGGAGGAGGTTGCAGAGAAGGGCTAAGGCAAGTTGGACAAAAATTTGAAGCCATATATACATACATATATTATAGGCAATTTTTCTTTAACTTGCCTTTGCCCTTTCTTAGCCACTTCTTCCTCAAATATCATATGAGTTTACATACATATTTGCTTGCTGACAGTGGTGGCTTTTCATGAAGACAAAAAGATTAAGGTTGGCTAAATATATTTCTATTCTCATGTCAATTTTCTTTCTCCTAATTGTTCTTGTATTATTATAATTCGTTTAAACACTTTTTGATTGTGTTTGAAGTAAAAATTTTAAAAAAAATTATAATCACAAATGAAGACGGTGCTTGTCCTAATATTTTGTAATATAACCTAGCATATAAATATAGTTTTGACATCACATCAAAAGTTAAAATTTTATGAAAATAATTAGTTTGGTGTAATTTTATGTTTTTTTCAAAGATGAGGTTTTAAGATAATCTTAAAATTATCTGATTTAATTGCTCTTTTGGCATAATAAATGTTGAGATTTATATATACATATAAATATTTGATTAAATGATATATATATATATATTTAAAAAGTCGAATTTGAGAAATGTGCATGTGCATGTGCATTTAATAAATTCTTCACTATTTATGTATCTTTCTATTTAAAGAATTTGGTTCGAATTCCTTCATATATATATATATATATTTATATAAAGAAAAGTTGTTTTTTATTCACCATGTACTTACAGGAAGATTCAATAAATGTTTTTGACTGATGCTCCTCTTGACATATGAAATGCTACTCGCGAAACAGAAACGAAAGCTCTGCCTTCCTGGGACCAGGAAGATAGGTGAGATATGTTGAACTGTGAGAAAAAAAATTCAAAAGAGCCTTGTATGTCAGATTCCATTTTCTGCTTCTGCCTGTCTCTGGAGGGTTTCGACTCAATGCTTTTGTTTTGATGTATGCAGACTGATGATTTTCGCTGTGTCTTTTTTCTTGTAAATGATTTGAGATGAGTTGTAAATCTGGGAGGGACCATGATGCCGTGATTAAATATTGATTCTGCATCAGGGGTTTCCTGGGAATGTATAGCAGGCTGTGCTCTGAAGTTTTCGTGTAACAGAGCTCTGGTTTTTGTTTTGTAAGGGAAGGATTTTATGCAAATGGGTTTTACATCAAAATTCATGGGCCTAAAATCGTCCCATGCCTGGTTGGGTTGTTGCCCCCAGTTGATTTCAATGAATCACTTAAATTTTTTTTTTTTAAAAAAGGGTACTTACAGTTACAGTTACAAAGTAGATTGTGGAGATGAAATCAATTTCAAGACTTAATTTCCAAGCTGTCGTAACTTGTCGGGTTCGAAAACTCGATCGCTAGACGTGAAATATACCTTGGGAGTCGCCACCAATCCTTTTTCAAACCTAGGTGTGATTGGCCACCTAATAAACTTGTTCTCTTTGACGAAATCTTAAATTAGTTTTAAGTCCATTGAAAGAACAATGAATTGATAAACTGATCTACGTATTTTGTTTAGAGTTGGGTTCCGGAGTACGACTATGCATAGGGAAAAATTAGCACCCCTATGACGCCCGTTTCACGAACGATACCATTTAATCATATTTTATCCTAACTCGTTAATTTTGTTTATATGTTTCCTTAATTTGATTCATTTGATTCATCTTTTATTCTATTAACAAATTAAATACATTTTATTTGATTTTTTTAGTGCTTGACGTACACGTGATGCAATCGTGCCATGTATGGCATAAAATTGAGATAATATCAAACGAAAACTTTTTATTGAGTGTCTTTTTTTAATTCGCCCATCATGCTGGTGGGATTCGAGAACATCCTCGCACTTATGGAAAATGCTCGATGAACTCGCCTTTGTAAGTTTTACGAGTAGATCCCATCATCGGGGTAATCGTTTGTGAGTAAAAATAACATTTTCATGAATGTAAATTCTAATACGAACAAAAGCTTTTTATTAAAGATATTTCTCCGAACCCTCCCATCGTACTGGTGGGATTCGAGAGTATCTTTTCACCTAGGGAGTTTATAGAAGAAACTCACCTTCGCAAGCTTTCGCGAAAAGTCCCATCATCAGAGCCTATGCTCTCGTTTAGAATATTTCTATATGCCATGACATTTAACAATGCAATCATGATACGTGATTCAATGTTCGTTTCTTATCTTTCACAAAATTCATTATTATTCCTTGTATGCATATTAATCATAATCAAATATTTTAC